CTTAATGTCACAATTGAAGATGGAGCTTTTCTATTGAGTTTATCTTAGCTCTGCTGCCCAATGTCTTTCTTTTCTTCAAGAGTTAGATATTAACTCTTTAAGACTGTTTATTTTTGTTTGGGGGATAAGACTGTGGGATTAGGTTTATCAAAAACACCGTTTGATTATAGCTAAACTAAGATAAGTAAAATAAATAAGGTGACAATTGATTTGTTTTTCGACGTTTATTAGATGTTCGTTTACATTACGAACGACATGTGCGTTCAAAAGGGGGTGAGGCATTGGGGTCTCTGATTAGAAGGGTAGCATTAGTTGTTATTTGTGCAACTAGTGAGAAAAGTGAGCAATTGACTCACTCGAGAGAAATCCTTACTCACGAGCCGTAGGCGAGTGAGGAATGGTTTCTCAAGTGAGGCAATTGTACTTTGAACTCTGAGTTGCACATTATACTTTTCCTACAGTTACCATAAAACAAATAAATTGGTGAAGAAACATAACCTATTTTTACACAGAAGTGAACTTTTAATATGACATGTAATGTGAAGTGACAAATACAACAGTACAACAGCTGACCAGCTGATTTACAGCCAGTGCTGCCAACGTATTTCGCGCGCATACGACGTTGCCTGCATGTTACGCGCTCACTATTTCGTGCCTTCACGTTGCAAATCTGGAGTGAGACAAAGTAATTAGAGTGAGACAATGTTAACATTGTCTCACTGATGAGCGAATTGGCCACTTTGCTTTCTCAAATCAGTGAGAGAACATGTACATTATTAGGTTACTGTAGGAAAAGTTATATTTTTGTCCCATGAGGTTTATAACGATTGAATTTGAAATTTGTTGCAACTAACGCCAGGAAAACCCCGAATCATGTACGATTGAACGGAAGGATTATATGAAATCCCATTACATTGATCAAAACCTGCTGGTTTAGAGTTCTCAATAACGTTACGTTTACAACACATAGAAGGTGAAGTAAGATGAGAAAAGAGACTGACTGATGTCACCTCATCTCAACCCTAATGTTCTATGTTATCAAGCGGTGGAAGTAAATGATTCTGAAACACTGGCAAACTTTCAACTTACTATGATTGATTCATTAGATAAAGTGAACTCCACTTTTGTTAACTTTTAATGGCTCAAATTTGATCGGTCGTTGTAAGAAACTCACTTTACCAAACTTAATTGTTCGCATACTTCGTCATCGAGATTATTGGATACGTTTCGTGTTAAAAATAGATCCACTAACAAGAATCGACGTTATTTCATTTATTTAATAAGAAACTCCAGTTTTAAAATATCTTTCAAAAATTGTTTCTACTCTAATTTGGTTGAGTGTTTTATTTTATGATTTTATTACATTCCGGTAAAAATCACTTACTTATTGAAGATTCATCAATATTTTATCTTAGACAAAGATTGCTATTAAAATTCATTGTTGTAGCCCCGGAACTGTTATTTTTTCAAAACAATTATACAAAGTTTATCCTTTATAAATTATCATCTTAATAATTCTTGTAGTTAATATCTACTGTTTTTGACGCGCAATCCACATACAAGTTAAATGGGAAATGACATAAACTATCTTACTTTCATTATTCATTTTTTGCTAAGCTTTAAATACCATTTTTTATACATAATTTGCCTCCAGGATTGATCTATTGACATAAAATGAGGTTACTAACCTGTCGTCAATCAGTCCTCTATTGTCTTTGATGACTATAGTTTCGGGGTTATAACCCCATTTTCAAATCTTCTCTTCAGTCGTCAAATGTCAAACATATTCTCTTGCGTAAGCCGTCGTCAAAATTACTTTACATATACACAAAAACACACACGAAAACATTTATAAATACAAATCATGTACATGCGCGTGAGGCCGGCCAAGGACAAAACCAGACTGCAGGGTTTGATAAGACTGTAGGTTATCTTCCAAAAAGAAATATGAAAAATATGAAGATAGAAAATAGACACACCCTAGCCTCACTAGACATAGTAAACCTGTACACAAATATCCCAGTTCAGAGAACTCTTGAAATTACAAAAAACAACCTGCTAACTTACTCTGAACTTGAAGCTGATGCTATAGATGAGTTAATTAGTTTACTTGAAATAGTTTTGGAACAAAACTACTTTTCCTTCAACGGAAAATTCTATCTACAGGAAGAAGGGTTAGCTATGGGCTCTCCACTGTCTAGTATTCTTTCAGAAATTTACCTGAACAATTTTGAAAATGAATATATTTTCTCCGAAAATAACAAATTTGCTAGTAAAATTAAATTCTATAAAAGGTATGTTGACGACACTATTGTTTTATTCAATGGAAATGTGAGACGGTTAAACTTGTTCAATAATTATTTGAACAGTATATACAATAATTTGCAATTCACCTTGGAGACTGAACAGAATCATTCCATCAACTTCCTTGATCTATCATTAATAAAAAACAACAATAAACTTACATACAGAATCTACAGGAAACCTACAACCACCGACCATACTATTCACGCCACTTCAAATCATCCGCAATCTCATAAAATGGCCGCATATAATAGTTTTGTGAATAGACTCTTAAAGGTACCAATGACCCAAGAAGATTACAACATTGAATACACAATTCTAAAATACATAGCAGTAAATAATGGTTACTCAAGCAGCATTATAGATAAGATCATTAATAAACAGAAGAACAAAAAGTCTCCAGATGAACCTAATTCTAAATTCGTATCCATTGAGTTTGGCAATAATCTACATTTCACTTTGAAAAATGAATTAAAAAAACAAAACATCATTCTGGCATGTAAGACTACCAATAAATTAGAACAACAATTGAACACATCCCCTCCTGATAATAGTAACAGTCTTGAAACATCTGGCGTGTACAGATTATCATGCAACGATTGTCCCAAGGTATATATAGGTCAATCAGGTCGTTCATTTAGGAAAAGGTATGTAGAACACCTTCCCAAGCCTAAATTGCAAACACAAAAATCTAAGTTTGCAGAACACCTAATGAACGAAAATCACAATGTCAACAGTTGCATAGATAATTTAGAGATATTACACAAATGTAATAAAGGTAATAAAATGAACGTTCTGGAAACCTTTGAAATTTACAAGGCAATCAAAAATTCCCCAAATGATGTTTTGAACGAGAAATTAAATTTTGGATCAAACATTTTATTTGACAGAGTGACCAAACTACAGAACAATAGAGGAGATAAACAGCTGGTTCCCCTCCCCCAAGGTCAACACCATCAAGTAGGCATCGGCTAACCTACAGTCTTATCAAACCCTGCAGTCTGGTTTTGTCCTTGGCCGGCCTCACGCGCATGTACATGATTTGTATTTATAAATGTTTTCGTGTGTGTTTTTGTGTATATGTGAAGTAATTTTGACGACGGCTTACGCAAGAGAATATGTTTGACATTTGACGACTGAAGAGAAGATTTGAAAATGGGGTTATAACCCCGAAACTATAGTCATCAAAGACAATAGAGGACTGATTGACGACAGGTTAGTAACCTCATTTTATGTTTAAATACCAGCCAAAATATGTGTTAATTCAATAGAATGTCTGGTTTATTTAATTTTTGGTAGACAATTAAAACGATAGTAGAAACAATATATACAAATTAAATGTACATGATTTTTACACTTTTAGTTTAGGTTTAACGATGAAATTAATTACCCTGTATCTAGATCTACCACTGACATAGTTATGATGAAGTATTTTATATTTTCTACGGATGTAAATATTGTATTTATGGTTAACACTCTATCACTCGACCTTCAAACCGAATACCTTGGGTTACCGTATCTCTTATCCATTGTGATATACACTGTGTACATTGTAATGTATTTTATCATACATTATATGTTTCCATCAAAGTCTATGTTATAAGGTGATTATGTTTTGCGCCATAATAATGTTCGGCAGGTATTTTGGTTTACGTCTTGGGACTACTATGTGACATAGCTCTCACTTAAAGGTTCGCAACCAGCTTTTTAAGTTGTAGGTTCATCGGGTACAATAAATGGATATGCTTATACTCTCAGTTTAATTAGACATATTAAGATTTACTTGCTATTATTGTTCCAAAATACTAAATAAATTTTAAGGGGAGCAGTGCGCGAATACCACGCCCATGTTATTCTTATGGGAAAACATGTGATAAGATAGGTACATTTATTTTTAAACCCGTTAAAGATATTGACTTTGAATTTTCTTTATATTCATTCCTTAGATTGTTTTCTATGATTTCATGCTATATAAACAAGAAATTAGGTATAGTTTTTTAAAAATATAAAAATTAAATAAAAATGATTAATTTTTAACTGTGTTTTTTTATAATAAACAATTTATTATTTAAGTAAAATTAATGGTAACATTCTAAAAATGCATGAAACTATTCGTCATGGTAACAGGAAGTATTGTGTCAAATTTGGGCTTGATAAGTTAAGCCCACACTTAACTATGATACCTACACTTATAAAAAATAACTTTCGGATATTTACATTTGATCCCTTGAAGGGCAGGCTCAGTAGAATCCTGAAGGCCCTCTTTCAAAAATCCGGGAAAATTATTTTTATTTACAATATTAGACTATGGGTACTCAAAATGTTCAGTTTTTTTCCTGAATGCAAATATGCAGTTTGATTTAAGATTAGACTATTTTGACTATTACAAGCTTAGTAAATCAGAAAAACCCGGGAAAATGGGTAGTTTAAATTCTGTATCTTAATGGAGAATTAAAGATCCATTCTCATACAAAAAATATCAAATGTATAAAGTGTTATACATTTTCTTAAACGGCACAAAGTACACAATATTTTGTCAAGATTTATTAAAACTGCATTTTTTGGGCATTTTCGCGCACTGCCCCCCTTAAAGGAGTAAAAATTTCCCAAAAGAGATTAGATGTATACTTTTAGTTTGGTAATAGTTATATACGGAGTAAGCGTATGTTCTTGTAATTATTTTATTTCAGATTTACCTGCGGTGTGCTACATATGGTGGACCCGACCCAAGCGCACGTCAGCATCACCTTCCCTCTGCGATCCACGTCAGAGAGGTTCATTGGCTTTAGCACTGCGAAATACCTGGACAAAAAGTGCAAATGAAACAGTAAAACAGTTTAATAATTTAACATGTAAGCTTCAAAGTTAAAACAAGATTATTACCTATACACATTAAATTCCAAGCTTTCGAGTAGAAGTATTTATTTTTATTGTTAGCTGATGTTAAAAGTCAATGTTACATGTCCAGGTTTCCACCTGCGTTAATATTTCTTTACAGTCGTTTTTGCAACTGAAGTAAACAGTTTAGAAAACAATGTTGTTTGAAAATTTAAGTCAAGCATGATTCAGTTTTGCATCGTGATTTAAATTGCGTGCCTTGATGCTCTTGACATAAACCGAAATTTATTCTACGTATTTGCTTCAATTATTTGTTAATTAGCTTAGAATAACACACAAAACTTGAGTGTGCAGTGGAAAATTTAAGTTTAAGTTCTTGTAATTGAAAGCTGCTTGGTATTTAAATTGACCATTGTTTGATATTCATGGATACAGCTTGTAAAATTACAGCCTTTTGATGGTCAGTGATCTCAACCGTATGCAATATATCGAAATTGAGCTCACTAAAGCTACGTGGAAAACCCTTGTATGGATCTTTTTATTATTACACAAATGTGCAATTACTTTTTCAATATATACTTCAACTGTCTCGGAATTAAATTTAAACTCACTGACAAAAACAGCTTCTGGGATTGCTAGAGGGTATTTCAAAGCAAATAGAAGCCAGGGACTAAATGAAGAAGCACGAAGACACCAAATATTTGGAGTTAGTAAACACACTTCAGATTAACACTCTATTCTGTGTTTATTCTCCAGAATATCTTACGAGCTTTCAAGTAAATTGTATGCAATGTTTAGTTGCTAGACACAGATGATAACCAATAAAAAATAGATATTTTGGTATGAGATAGACTAGTTTACAATTTCCATTTATGACATAGTGTATGTAAAGCCTACATAATATGTAAACTTATTTATTTAGCTTCTGAGCTACGAAAATGTAAATTTTTGCACTTTCCATTTTTTTTCTATTTCCATTTTGTATCAAACAATTAAACGTAGCTTATTTTAAATATTATTCTGATCTGTAAGTGTATACAATGAAGGTCAAATAAGAGATAATGAGATTTAAATGACATGCCCACACGCACCTGTCTATACTGATACATATGAGGACGAAGCTGGAGAGATAAAGTCCGAATATCCTGAAGAAAGCTGTAATTCTGCACGCCACGTCTCCGGCCCACCAAGCTACAGTCGCGGCCCAGACAATCTCTAGAGGCATCATGAGGAATGTTACCTGAGACAGAGAGATTTTTGGTAAATATTCAGACACTATGATATCCTGAAGAAAGCTGTAATTCTGCACGCTACGTCTCCGGCCCACCAAGCCACAGTCGCGGCCCAGACAATCTCTAGAGGCATCATGAGGAATGTTACCTGAGACAGAGAGACTTGGGGTAAATATTTAGACACTATGATATCCTGAAGAAAGCTGTAATTCTGCACGCTACGTCTCCGGCCCACCAAGCCACAGTCGCGGCCCAGACAAACTCTAGAGGCATCATGAGGAATGTTACCTGAGACAGAGAGACTTGGGGTAAATATTTAGACACTATGATATCCTGAAGAAAGCTGTAATTCTGCACGATACGTCTCCGGCCCACCAAGCCACAGTCGCGGCCCAGACAAGCTCTAGAGGCATCATGAGGAATGTTACCTGAGACAGAGGGACTTGGGGTAAATATTCAGGTACTATCTGAGGGAATAGCAGGATAAATGAGATCTGGATATCCTGAAGAATGCTGTGATGCTGCAAAAGGTGATCACTATCCATACCACTATCCCCAGGAGTGTCTCTAAAAATATTGCCTGAGACAAGGAAAGGAGGGCTGAGATCGGAAATAAAAAAAATGGATTATGAATCTGATTATGATTAAATTAATTATGATAGACTCTTGAAGAATACTGCTGTCAGTGTCTGCAAGCTATTTCAGACAGAGATTAATTGTTATACAATCATACTTATATACTGAAATCGAAATCCAGCAAAGCTGCAGTTATAAACAAGCTATACACAACGTTTTCCATTCGTCTAAGTTATTTTACATCTCAAGATGGTAGTTCTTCGTTTGGTAAACAAGTATATTTTCATATAACTTATGAAGAAGATAATATTGTTTCAGAACCTGGTCTATAATAACTGAAAAATATACTGTATTTAAATCTATGGTTGAAAGTTAAGATTTTGCTAGCTTAAGTTCCCAAGGGTTTATGTTCCACAATTTTAAATTTTAATATAGATTTTAAGATAGACAGAATCCTTATTTGCATGACAGAGTTTTAAAAAATCAAATTGACGGAAACCCAACATCAGAGACTCACCAACAGGTCAGCTATGGCCAGATGCATCAGCATCGTGTTGATCCTAGAGCTGGAGTTCCGCCTGCGACGCAGTATGATGGACAGGACCGTGATGTTTCCGATGGCCGAGAACACGAACAGGATGGAGTAGAAGACGATGGACACGACATGGCCGGCGTTAAACCGCATGTCGATGGGGATCTCATAGCCGGAGATGTTGCGCCAGTCGGGGAAGAAGCCGAAGGTGGGGACGTTGTCGGTGGTGGCCCCCATCTCCACCTCTACCGTCTCATATCGTGGCGATTCCACCTGAAACAATCAGCTGGTTATTGCTTGGTTCAAAATCTGGCTAATTAAATTACCACTAGGGGATTAAGCAGCAATTGTGTCCTTCATGTCCGTTGTAATGTGACCTTAACCATGATGTGCACTATTCCTAAATAATCTACTTCGTAGTCGCGGTCTTTCCCTAACACTTTACATTGTAACACTGCATTACCATTCTAACCTAAAAACAGAACACTGAAATCGATAAACAAACAAATATGCAATGTTTACATCAGATGGTATTATAAAACAGCTTATCTGCAGCAATACTTAAATTAGAAAATGACTGGGCCATTGACACCCTGTGGGGCAGAGCAGGGGTAATTTTTGAAACTTCTGATATTTTTCCCACCGTCCTTGGACCATAAGCTTTCAAATGAATCCTCAACAGCCATGATATTTTTTTCCTAGCTCGAGATATTTTACGGGGACCGATTCGCTTATGGAATTAAATATATAGGCATGGTTAGAAGCATTATTTTGTTTATTTTCGATTGTGTAGTAACTGAACACCAATCTCATAAACATCAATCATTATCTATAGCCTGCAGTTGGCTGTTAGACTATTGGACCTAGCACTGTTATCAATCAATCTGTAATACAAACCCAATTACACTGGGTGTAATAGACCTCATTTCCAAGAAATTACAATTTCGATGTGTGTAACAATACATTTTTAGGCAAATTTGCGTGCCTTAAACATGTATCTGTATAGTTAATTAATTAATCCATTATTTGAATAACCTTTAAATACATATTGACAGTGACACAAATGAAAGATTGTTAGATACACTGTTGAATGCAGTCGTATATTAATCTGTTTGGTCATCTTTCTTGGCTCAGCCACACTAATTATCTGTTAAGCAAACTGATCCCACTCTGTAAATTGTTGGTCTCATTACTAAACAAAAAAATATCGATAATCTTTGGTGAATAACACAAACAAACCGTCCAGGCAACTGTTCGATACATGAACAATACTAAACTCTCTAATAAACTTGGTGGAGCTAGGATCAATAAACTGAGTGTGTTTTGGTGAAGCAACAGCAAGGATCAATTAGGTTTTTGAGTCTATTTAGCAAACAAACTGCTGAGTCTACCAAAGAAAAGGACACTTTCTTTCAATCAACTTATGCATCCAGAAACAACAAAGTATTAGTTAGTGAAATTTTCTAATTCAGTACCTACAAAAAAAAACTTTGAAGTTGTTATTTTTACTTAAACTGAATTAATGTTTTGTTTTCTTAAGTAATTGGGACCTTAAAGGCTGAGGTTTTGCAGTATTGTATTAAAAATTACTCATCCCAGGTACTCATTATTGAACTCTAACATTTTTCACTCAAATACAAAGAAAACTGGTTTATATTTTTGTACTTTTATGGTCATGTTTAATTCATAACGCATTTAAATTAGGTTTAGCTTTGGTAAATCAGTATAATGTCTTTTTTGGCAGATAATAAAGTATATGATTCAATACAATTAATTATAAGCACCGATATTGTACTAAATATGTCCAATAATTAAGGTATACGCTTATGCATGAATAAAAGTAAAATCATCGTATAGTGTCTAGTGAGATGAGCTTTCAACCCTTGGGTTTTTAAAACATTATATAACAGGTGTTTTAGTTGTACCTAAGCTATTTTTTTGTTAGTTATATTTTTGAACATAATCACACACAACAATATTCTGCGTTTTACCAATTAAAGTAAGTAAATCTTAGATTGTATATTCATCTGATTCATCCCATCATTATTTTCAATACGTTGTGTTTCTTAAACTATTTAGATAGATTATTGATGATTTATAGTAGGTGATAAAGTAGTGATTCATTAGAAATACAAGATGAATCACTATTTATAAAAAGATCAAAATCATATTTTAACGAAGCAATTATTAAGCTGTTTACTCTGAGGACACTGGTTGTTTTTAAGATAACGCTTCTCATCCAACTGGTTATTAACTTTAATGTTCTCGTTTTCCTCATCTGAGACCCTTGGCTCTTTTAATGAAAGGTAATTCAAAATTAAATTTTTATGAGCTTCTATTTCTCTTTCCCTTTAACGAATACCTAAAGAATGTTTTCATTGACGAATTTCTTGAATATTTTAAGGAAATATTTCAATAACACTTTGTTTGTCAGCGTAAAGCAAAGAAATATTGCTCATAAATTGAATGTTTAAGTTATCGGAGTCGATCCAAGCAAACGTTTCCATTATTACGTGGAAATAGCAATTTTTTAAAATCTTTGATTGCTTATAAAAAATCATTTAAACTCTTTTAATCAGCTGTATTAAATTTTAAACATGTTGATATTTCTTCCATAACACCTATTCAATGTGTACAAAATATAAATTAATTAAAACAGAAACTGCGAGTAAGTACGTATCTTGCAAATCCATGAGATCAAAAATTACAAATCCGAAATTGAAAACAAGCTGGAAGTCATTTTGAGAGGATATCTTTAAAAATGAAAATATTTTTAGTTCAGGCCTAAACTTGGTTCTTTAAAATCTTTTTTGTCTTTTATTTTTATTTGCAACTGTTTACAAATGTTGCAATACAACGAAAAAGTATAGTTCAGCACACGAGAAAAAAAAGTGTCTTTTCAATCCTCGCGTATTTTTTAGTTATAACTGTTGCGTTATTTTTATGGAATTTTAGATTAGCCATCACTCATAAGGTATTTTATTCTTTTAATCTTTTTGGTAATCAGTATTCATACATAAATTACATAAATAATGAAATTGCAGAAGTGTTCAAACTATTTTAGCCAAACAAACCTAAATTCCTGTAATAAATATTACCTTTCCAGTATTGTTTGTTTATTGAGACTAATCCCTTCACATGTTAAAGGAGATCGCTTAATTCCAATACGCTCTTAAGCGTAAAGCTTTTAGTTACCTATTTAATGTAATAATCCAGCTTATTCGATGCTTAAGATCTTCTATCTATTGCCATTAGCGTTCACAAAGATATCCCAATATAATATGCAACGTGTAATACATTTACTTAACACACTACTCCATTTACACGAACAAAGAAAATATATTTTCCTACCACTGCATAAAAATCACTTTTCCACACCTTTAAACAGTACGCAAAGTAGTTAATTTCCCATATATTAATTCCAGCTTGCTAAATCACCTGATTTCACTGATGGCGTTTTTATAAAACACTCACTCCCAATATGCAAATAGCATAATAATATGCTTAATAATACGATGTGCTTAATTACATTTTATATACAACTATAAATTTCATATGTGAACATTAGGCTACTTATGTTGGTATAACAAGTTTGGGTGTATTACGAGCACAAACATTGCCGCTCCAAAATGTATGACCTCAGTTAAAGCTTCATGCAACCGACTCCAGTTCTCGAGCAGAAATTACGTACTTTGCGCTCTCAATACATAAATAGCTATAATAATCACTTGTACCTTGCTAAGCACTATTTAGGACTAAGGAGTGCAAAAAATCTTCAAATATTTTAGATAATAGTTCGGCCTGAATACCAAACGTAAGTTCAGCGTACAGTTTAATATAATGTAGGTTTATAATTATATGAGATACAATTCAGAATTTTTATAGAAATAAGTAAGGTATATATCTTATATCTTACACTTGATTTTTGACTTGAGGTATTAAACTGAATTAAAAATGGTGTTCGGTGTGAGAGAGTTGTATTTTTTTAATGTTAGTGGTCTGCAAACCAAACAAAAATCTTTTAAAACCAATAGCATTTATTAAATTAGTAAATCAAATAAATGAATGGTTTGATTCTTTTTACAAGTAAATCACTATGAAAATAGTTATCAAATTGTATAAAAAACTTCATTGCTCATTTTTTTAACCAAACCAAGGTAAGACAATTACGTCGAAGTACCAAGTAGGTGGTTCGAATGAAAATACCAATATTTCACTAGACAACTAATAGGATCCTCACAAACTACAACACTTCGAAAATGAATAACGCTAACAGTCAAAGACGCTAAAAAAAACTTAAAACGACTGAATGTTAATTCATGTAATCTTTTGTACATACTGGTACGGTTTCAATTAAATTGTCAGGTATAATCTCAAACAATTAAAAGCTTTGAAAATCTGTTCTTAAATGTATTAAAATGATATTTGTAAGCTTAAACATACTCAAGATGAAATAACATAAACCTTTTCAGTTGGCATAGGTAGTTTAATTTAGAGAAATTGTTACTCATTCATTTAACTTAAAGTAAGGACTTAACTTCATTTCAAACGAACCAGGACAAAACGCCTGACTTATTCAATTCAAAGACCGAGTAAGAGTTCTCTTACAATTGGATGGACTCTTTGGTCTTGTTTAATCGTCGTTCCAAAAACCGACCATCATACTTTTTACTTGAAATAATTATTAAATTAGTTACAAGACATTTTACACAGTCAGACTATATTTTCTGAGACTAAAAGACTTGTAAAGAGAGCATTACTGCATTGTTAAGTGCGTTACCATTATAGTGGTTAGCCTCTCGGACTTCTATTTGAGAGTTACGAGCTAGATTCCGGGCATATTACCTACTAAGGTACAAGAAAGTTTTTCCCTTTAAAAAATCTGTGATTCTTTTGTACAAAATGCAACTGGCACAAACACAAAAAAAACATGAAAAAATACTTAATTTAAACAAAAAAATTAAAACTAAGGGAACCCCTTGAAAAGTCGTAGGAGGGTTTAGATTGCCAGGGTGACAGGGGATAAGTCCTGCAATAAGTTGAAAAGACTTAAGTTGAGTCTGGTATTATCTGATTACTGCAAAGCTGCAGCTTATGGAAGGATTATACTCATTACTTTACAGTATTTTTATTGGTAAGAAATTGGTAGTTGTATTTTTATTCATGTTTAAAAATGTACTCAAGATAGTTCTATTGGTGAGATAAATTATCGTCTGTATAAATTATTTCAGTCAACATTGGTTAAAGCTCGATCATTGGGAGGACCTTTTGAA